CTCTTTAATTATTTTGTTATTATCCAAGGAACTGGTTTAATTTAAATGAACACGGTATTCCTGCTGCTGCTACCTAGAGAAAATGCTGGCTTACAACATGCTGTTTTGTAGTCAGATTCTCTGTATCTGTGTTTTGATGCCAGAATTGAACTGCTTTTTTCTATTTACTAACTCTGCTGATCTGTACGTTCCAAAAACCTGTTTGCTGACTGAGCGTCTGCATGTGTGTGTATGTGTGTGTGCTTATTGTTGTTGTTTTAAGTGTGATAAGGTTCAAATGTAATTGCCTGCTGCAATTGTTCAGGATTATTTCGATAATTGCTCAGAGTTAGACTACTGTCATACATTCTAGGTGGGGCTGCCCTTGAAAAGTGTTTGGAAACTTCAACTAGCACAAAATGCAATTGCCAAGGTATTGATTGGGATGAAGTGATCAGAACACATTATGAACATTTTGTGTGCTCTACATTTTCTTTGCAAGTTTGTTTCTGGTTTAATCCTTGAAGTCTTAAAAGACGAGATCTGGGAAGCATAAGGACTGTTTTCTTTCATATGTTTCTCCTCACATGCTCCAGTCATCATCTGAGGCCTGGCAATCAGCAACTGGGGACTTTTCAGTGGTGGGTCTCACCCTATGGCATGCCCCATGGCTGAGAGATATAAAACCCTGGCATTTTATGGTTTTCAGGACCGGCCCTACCATTAGGCAGAGTACAGCAACGACCTCAGACAGCAAATGTTGGGGAGTGACAGCCAAGTGAAGTAAGTTTTGACTGTACTGAAATAAGAGTCAAAAACAGCTTTCAATTGTGGAAAGGAGACTGCCATTTCCCCCTTTGCCACAGGCAGCAAAAGGTGTTGAACTGGGCTGGATATTTGGCCAAAACCTGGTTGTTCAGGAAGGAATTCAACAGAAAAACATTTATCCACTTGTTATGAATATGTGGGAAGAGCTTTTCCTTTCGCTGTGTTTTCAGTTGGTTTTAGGGGGTTTATGAGTTGAGATTTTTGTTAATGGTTTTGGTTTTTCTGATGGTAAGTATGCTCAATGAACTCCAAACAATAAAGCCATTCATGCAATCTCTAGCAATGAAAATTAACTGGATCACACCTCAGGGACACACCTAAACAAAAATGTCTTCGGTAGGTACCCAAACATCATCACACTAGGTGCCTATTTGGTTTTGGCTGGGAATTGATTCCAGAGAGCTGCATCTGCATCACTAGAAGCCCTGTTTCTAGTGCTCCTCTGGAGCATAGGACACTCTCAGCAGTGCTGCATCTGAGAAGCATAGTTGCCAGGTAGACATATAATGGTCAAGGCAGTTTGCCTTCTGGGCTTCTTCCCTCCTGTACAGGTGAGTGGCACTGTCATTCTCTTAGCACAGAAAACTGGACGGTGATGCGGGGAAAAACGGGAGGGACCTGGATTGGGTGCAACAGGACTTTCCCACAGGCTCAAACAGTTTACTGTTAATGTGGCCCCTTACATCTCACCAGAAAAGAGGCTGAAAGAGAGCGGAATCCAAAGTGCAAGGATTGATACTTGCCTAATGGAACTTCGCTTCTCCCACAGTGCCTTCCCTTTATTTGCTCTAAAGGATGGGGAACCCAGAATAGACTTAAGGGAGGTGAAAAGATGGCGGTGGTGGAAGCTCCATTGCACAAGGATAAATCCTTGCGTTAATGGAACAAGAGACCTTGCATTACTTTGAATACAAGCCAGATATTTGCATCCTATTTGCATGTGCTAATTTATACATGTAGATGCGCATTTAGCCATAATTACTATAATTTAAATAGAAATACTATGCATCTCACCACAGTGGGAAGAAATGGGAGCCAGGTGGCCTACGTGCCTGCTTAGTTTGCTACCCAGGTGTTAAAAGTTGATGGGCAGCTTTACATATTCTCATTTCTTGTGGCTATTTAACTTAAATCAGTCTTGGGCCCTACAAACATAGGACAGGGGTACATCTGGCTCCTTTATCCTATAGCTTTTGTTATATGCTAAATGTTATGTACTGAAGTTCTCACCTTGGGCCAGCAGGGGGATACTATAGATAGTTATGCAAATGAAGGATCGAAAGTGACGTTCAGTGATTGGATAGTTTTAGAAAGTTGCTACAGTAACGTTGTACTGGAGCTCTATATAAGCAGGCTGACTGAGCCCTTCAGTCAGTTCTGTTCTGGCCTCTGAATAAACAAGAGCTGTTTGAAGAATCGCTGTGTTGTCTGATATGTTCACCCACAACTTAACACTAAACATACCTCTTTACCTTGGGCCATGGCACCTGAGATGTCTGGATTTAGGGCCCACCCTATTCTTTTGATTGTAAATTGTTTTAACTTATTTCATTGCTGCATTTTTGCATTGCTGTGGCCAGCCCTGGGACCTTGTGGCGAAGATTACCAGTAGGTAAGAAATCTGTTTGATGATGATGATGATGATGATGATGATATCAACATGGGACACATGGCTACCTTATTTGCTGTTGATTCACAGATCCGGAGAGAAAGGCCAGAAATGAAATGGGTTACTGGAGACATTCCCTCCACATAACAGCTGTATATATACAAAGTGGGGGTGGTTTGCTTATATAAACCTGTTTCTGCCTGCAGAACACCTCTTGCTGGATTCAACCACATGGTTACAATAATACAGACCCAACACCACAGCCCTTTCCCATAGATGTTGAATTTCTCTTCTCCCTGCCCCCCCAATATACACTTTGGCTTCTAACCAGCTAAAGTACAACATAATATACCTAAGAATTAAAACAAAAACCATGTGGCCATTTGTACATCATAAAAATTCGATGTAAATCCAAACTGTATTTCATTTCCTGAAATAGTAAGAGTTTCAAACCAAGTTCTTATAAAAAACACACACACACACAACCAAGCCCAGATGTGTTGTAAGCAGTTTTAATCTGTATTTTTTGGCTAGGTTTTTCTGAAACGTATCCAGTAGCTACTGTTAGCAAAGTGAGGTTATCGAGAAAGAATCTTAGCAATCAAAAGTGATTACAGGTAGTCACCTGAGTAGAGTACTTATATGGGATACAGATGTGAGCAAAGGTATAGTAATAAAAAATGCCATGAAAAATGATCAGAACTCCGAAGCACTTCAGGTATTAAAAGGTGCCTGTTTATATAATAAAATCATAAAACCTATTAAACAGAGAGAGAAACAATCTAGACGTTCAAATAAGAAAATGTAATTATTCAAAATATGTATGTGCTGTTTTGGAATGTTTGCTCTAAGGACAAACATGTTCTTCAATGTGTTGTTTTTGTGCATTGAAATATTTACATTGAGAACAAACCTGCTTACATTCAACTTGGGCTTACAGAGCTTGCTTTTTCCATCTCTTGGAAGACAGAAAGTGCTGCTGCAAGGCTGTTTCCTACAGGAACCAGTGGTCCCCCAGTCAAGTAGAGCTGATTACAGTACTGTTCCAGCCTGGCCCTGTCATTAGGCAGAGTGAGGCAACTGCCTCAGGTGGTAGATACCTGAAGGTGGTTCATTGTGTTGGAGGGCAGAGCTCTATGTGCCAAGCAGCCTGCCCTGCTTATGTGCCTTTTCTTGGGTGATGGGTGGGTGGGAGTGAAGCACCACTTCCTGCTCACCTTGGGCTGGTCCCGGACACTATACTTTGTAGATGTCCAGAAACCAATTGAGATACACCAAGGCCTCTAAAACCTTTCCTTCAGAGCCAGTTGCTCAGTCATCACTTGAATAGCAACACACCCTGTCCAGGAACATGTCTTCTGCCTCATACCCTTGACTCCTGTTTGCCTGATCCAGTAGTAGACACCTGGCCTAGTCTTGACTCTGGCCTGACACTTCTTTACTCCAGCCATTCTATACAGTTTCCACCATGCAGCCTGCAGATGAAGGCCATAAGATGTAGACAGGTCCTTATGTTCATTTTTCCAGGTCTAAATTGCCACATGGGATGCTAATGGTGGAAGAACAGGAGTTCTCTTGTGCCCAAAGTAGACATCTGCTGACTAGGCCCTGGCATATCTCCAACATTGACTTTTCTTTCAGCCATCCAATAATATTGCAATCATGGCTAGAGACTATGGCAAGCTGTGTGGCTCGCTTTCTTTCTTTCTTTCTTTCTTTCTCCAAGTCACCTCTCAAGTAGGCAGGGTGTGTGTCTAATTAGCTCTTTACTATAAATATGGCTGACCCAAAGGCCGAGCTGATTTGTTTGACAAAGGTAATGCATTTGATCTCTGCACTGAAGTCCTTCCCCAGCTGGAGTCCGACAACATCGACAAGCCTCCCATGGCTTCATCTCACATCTCTTTCTCTGTGCTGTGCCACACAATCTATCAGACATGTCAATCAGATCCCATACAAAGAAGGCAAAAATGCCACCGCCTCCTCCTTCTTCAAGCTGAACCTCTGCTGCCCACCGCAGCGTTACATTCCAAACAGTCATTGCTTCTTGAAACTACCACTAGGATGTCATGGTGTTGAAAGAAAATAATTAGATGCCAACTTTGGAATAATAGAGTATTTAAAAATCAATTAGCCCCTAATGGGAATACATCTCAAGTTTTCTCATGATTTCACCAGTTGACACACTATATTGAAGTGTGCTTGTACACAGGGAATGGTCCAGGATCTCACGGGAAAACAAAGCCTCTGATTCAAGCTATGAAGAGCGCTTCTTCTTTTTTTGCTGATGCTACTTTTGACTTCTGGACTCCCCTTTCTTTTCTTGGCATGCTAGCATCAATAAACCTCTTATGACACAATCCAAAGCCCAGATCCACCAAGATCAGGGGTTTCTGAGAGCTGTAACCCTCTCCGGAGGCTTCAATTCAGGGTTTAGAAATAGCTGAATTTATGCCAGCTTATATTTTGCCAGCATTAGGTTCCACTGGGGTCCTTTAAATTGTTCTGCTTGCTGCAATTGTCATATTCAGCATAGACATCAAGTCAGTACTGGACATCATAAAAATGGATGGCAATCAAGGTTGGGCCATAGCTCAATGGTAGAGGTCTTGCTTTGCATGTAGAAGGTGACAGGTTCAATCCCTGGCATCTCTAGGTAGGGCTGGGAAAGGAAGATTGTCTGCCTGGTGTCTTGGAGAACATCTGCCAGACATTGTAGACAATGCTGGATTAGATGACTCAGTGGTTTGACTCAGTCCAATGCAGCTTCCTATATTCCTATAAGTTATTTATGATACAGACCAGGAGGGGGGAAAACAGAAACTTACATCTACCATGAATCAAAGCCCTTTCAGGATCCAAGTTTTCAAAGTCCCCCCCCCTCTCTTTGCAGAAGTGGTGACAGCACTGGTCACTTTCTGCAGAACAGCCTATAGATCTGAGAAGAAAAGCAAACCCAGTTCCTGCAGTGATTTCATTTTAAAAACAAAACCCTGGTGTGTGTACCCTGGTGGTGAATCTGAGTTCCAAATCCTCCCAGCACTGTGCTGTTCAGTGTCAATTATATAAAAAAAGATAACACCTGTTGTTATGATTGCTGGCCTTCCAGCCCGATGAAAGAGGGGAATGTGTACACGTGTTGCACCAAGAAACCCAATGCCCCACGTTGCCACAATGAGTAAAAAGAGCTGCTTCCAAAGAAACACGGGAAATTGCTGCTTCAAAACCGATTCCGAAAGGCTAACTTTAATGCAAAATAGAAAGCAGATGTGTCGACATATTGCCTAGATTGAGGCAACGGCCAGCAAATCGAAGCTGAATCTTTCTTGCAAATACCTAACTGCTTTTTGGCAGCAGGGTAGCTTGGACTACACCTCCAGGAAAAAGTGCAGAGTCCCACGGCCCTGGTGGGGCCCATATGACTGACCATTGCAAGAGCAGCAGAGGATTGGGTGGCAACTAGCAACTGGGTCCATATGGGGAAGGGCTCTAGCTCTGTGGTAGGGCATCTGTTTTGCGTGCAGAACGTCCCAGGTTCAATCCCCAACATCCCCAAGCAGTGATGGGGAGATCTGAAATCCTCAAGAGTTTCTATTGGTCAAGGTAGACAATATAATGAGCTGGGCAGCCTAATGGTCTCTGTGTTTCTGTGAGTGTGCCATGGTCCACTGAAGCTGATGCTCATCATTCCACCCTTCCTTTCCTTTTTTCTGCAAACCCACCCCCCATTCAACAGTCAGCAAGTGGCCAATGTGGCATGTACATGGTTAGAAATGCCATATTATATGATGGTGGCAATTAAAATTATTATTATTATTATTATTATTATTATTATTATTATTAATTGGATTTATAGATTGCCCTTCATCTTAAGTTCTCAGGGCAGTTCACAGAACAAAACACAGGATAAAAACAAGTAAATAAGTAAACCAAAACAGCAAAACAATAACCCCTTTTCTACAACCAAATGTTTCTTATTCCCAAGTAAGTACCGTATTTTTTGCTCTATGACTCACTTTTTCCCTCCTAAAAAGTAAGGGGAAATGTGTGTGCGTCTTATGGAGCGAATTCAGGCTGTGCAGCTATCCCAGAAGCTAGAACAGCAAGAGGGATTGATGCTTTCACTGCACAGCGATCCCTCTTGCTGTTCTGGTTTCTGAGATTCAGAATATTTTTTTTCCTTGTTTTCCTCCTCCAAAAACTAGGAGCGTCTTGTGGTCTGGTGCGTCTTATAGAGTGAAAATACGGTATGTTTGACCAAGTCAGCATAAGAAAACTCCTTTTCTATCCTTGTAGACCTGCCGGTGCTACAATTTAAATGAGTTTAAAATGTGAAACTACGACTGTTCTGAACATTCCCTTTTACCCCCTTTTCTTAAAACCTGGGGTGCCAAAATGTTGGTGTCTTGTCCTAACCAATCCGGAATGTAGAAGCAGTTGTAAAGCAAGGGAAAATAATATAAGGGCTGGGAGAATTAATGTCATTTGGGTGCTTCAGAGCTGAACATGGCCATTTTAAGGGGAAGGGGAGAGACCATTAAGACCTAAACGTGTCCCAGCTCCACTACTGTTTGTTGGCTGAGCTACAAATGCTGCCTTCGCCAACTTCCCTTCCTGCCCATCCTCTCCCAGTTTTTCTTTCTTCCCTGGCTATGGCACACCCTCTCCACAAAGAGTATAAGCTAAAGGAGATATATCTCTCAGCATCTATCCTATGGCTTCCAGTTACCTGTGGTACCTACCAGGACTGTGGGGTGGTTGCCAGGCAACCATCAGTTCTTTCTTACCTAATTGCTACCTCTTGTGACAGCACAGAAAGAGAGGTCAGGGAGGCCGGGAACCTCTCCCCGCACAGGCTGCAAGTACCTCAAGCATGTTTAAGGGTAAATTGAGGAGAGGGGGAAACGAGGGCACATGACACAATTCTGCTGCTGAAACTAAAGCAGCTTTGTTTGCCAGATGGGAAAGGTCTCAGAACTAAACATGAGACATCATGAGCTCTTTGGAAGAAAGAAATGGACACAACTGTCATAAAAAAGTAAAGGCAGCACACAGTGTTTCAATTTTACTCCCTCCTCCAGCCAAACTATTTTCTGACTACTCTGAATGGGACACCTATTAGGAGTATACCAGCAAAAGGAGGCACAAAGATTGCACCAGGTTATGTATGTTTCACATGCACTCAGTCACCAGTGCAATCTGTCCCATATTGTGTGAATTTTGTGGTTTTTTTAAGAAACATAGAAAATTTTGCATTTAAATTGTATGCATTCTTCCCCTGAAATGCACCTCTTTGTGTGGTTTTCAACACATTTCCTCCTAAAATGCACACTGCACACATTTTCCCATTTAAAAAAATGCATTTTTGTGCACATTGCTTGAACCCAAACTATGCTGCACAATTCCAAGAAGGGAATTGTGTTCCAATTCACCTATAAATTTGGAACCAGTGAATTAGGTTAGTTTGTTTTAAAATGAGGACTGAAGAAATTCCTTATCCATCACTAGATTTAACACAGAGAGAGCAAAGGGGCCAGGGCAGGATATTCCAACTAGATCACACAGTAGAGCTGATCCAAGATATTTTGCTTGCTAAAGTGAAGGACAATATAGTTTTCTGCACCCCAAACACCTGGTTCTACATACAGAAGCTAACTGAACAGGCAGTTGAATTTTATTTCAACACTGACGAAGGGACCGTGTTCCCCCATCCCATCTGAAGATAGCGGGATAACTTTAGTTTAGGGGTTATTATTTGTCTTTGTTTCGGAGTGCCCATTTTTCTACATTCTCAGGATCCACCTGTGACCCAGTTTTGTTTGTGAAAGGGGGCATCCATTTGCATTTAGTGCAAAGAACATGCAGCCTTTTCTGTCGCATCGGCTGCTTGCTATGCAGAATGTCTGCAGAAAACAGAAATAAAGTTGTATAAAAGAGATTACGTTTATGGTAATATATTTATCGCCAGGCAACATAGCAAAGTAGAAGGCTTTAAAATGGCAAAACATTCTAAACACAAAAAAACATTTGTACAAGTAAAGTTCCCTCTGGGGTGACATCCTTCCAAAGCTTTAAAGTCTTAAAAGAGATATTTGTATCATTTCTACTGCTACAAAGCAAGCTTGGCACAGATGAATATTAGTTGCTCCTGTGAAAGCTTCATTGAAATGAGCAGAGTTGGCTCAGTGGCTGAATTATTATTGTATTGCTTGGAGGGCTTTTTCCCTGGTGTAAATTCTGTATGCTTAACAGCAAAGGAAGTTGTTGTTGTTTAGTCGTTTAGTCGTGTCCGACTCTTCGTGACCCCATGGACCAGAGCACGCCAGGCACTTCTGTCTTCCACTGTCTCCCGCAGTTTGGTCAGACTCATGTTTGTAGCTTCGAGAACACTGTCCAACCATCTCGTTCTCTGTTGTCCCCTTCTCCTTGTGCCCTCAATCTTTCCCAACATCAGGGTCTTTTCCAGGGAGTCTTCTCTTCTCATGAGGTGGCCAAAGTATTGGAGCCTCAGCTTCACGATCTGTCCTTCCAGTGAGCACTCAGGGCTAATTTCCTTAAGAATGGATGTGTTTGATCTTCTTGCAGTCAATGGGACTTTCAAGAGTCTCCTCCAGCACCATAATTCAAAAGCATCAACCCCTTCATGGATCACTGCCTTGCCGTGGCGAAGGGGCTTGAATAACTCGGAGAAGCTATGAGCTATGCCGTGCAGGGCCACCCAAGATGGACAGGTCATAGTGGAGAGTTTTAACCAAATGTGATCCACCTGGAGGAGGAACCGGCAAGCCATTCCAGTATCCCTGCCAAGAAAACTCCATGGACAAAGACAAAAGGCAAAGGAAGTAGGGAGGTATAATTCAGTTCGCTTCACATTTAGTTAGTTAGTCAGTTTTCAAAAAATATTATTAGTGACTTTGTGCACTAATAATAAGTCTTCAACAACCATATTGAATACGAACCTGTATAATCCATTCTTCTCAAAACAATCTGCAATAGCCACAACAGTATTCCTCCAAAATGTGCACTTCTCTGGGTTTTGCAGTGCTCTATTGCACCCCAAAATGCATGCATTGAGGGTGTGTGCATTTAAAAAAATACATATATTGGGGAAAATAACATCCAACAATGCACTATGTTAGGAGAAACTGCTTGTAAAAAATGTATATATTGATCAAAATGTCACCCCCAAAAATGTGTATTAGGAAACGCTAAAATGTTCTTGTGAGGACTTTAAAAATAATAATCACAAAGTGATGTGGAAATATGGAGAACTCAATTTAAGACTGGAAAAATGAGAAATTGAAAGAAGCCAAAATTGAAAGATTCATCCATCTTCCCATGGGAGATTGTGGGACTGGTAGTCACAATCCTATCCCTGAATACCAGAGACTGGGGCCAACTTGCTGCTGAATTCTCCCCTCTTGCCCTAGGAAAATACTTGAAGGGTTGAAGAGGAGGGAATAAGTAAGTAAACAAAAGGGTGGCCCTCTGAGAATTTTCATGCATTCATATTGAATGTTTGCAAAAAATAAATAAATCTTAAGCCTGCCTGAGCACTTAATCTGAGCAGTTGCAAAGACCTTTCAGGGTGAGCAGAGGGGGTGGGGCTGTCTTGCACTCCTAGTGGGTGGTAACACTGTTGGGTGACCACAAATAAATGTCCCATAAATGTCATGCTCACATTGGTTTGGCAGATAGGCAGACACATTGTAACATCCCTCATGCCTCTTGTGCCAGATATGTCGGAAACCTGGCAAGCCGCACATAACTCCTTCAACATGCTGATGGGTTGGGAGCTAATGAGTTTTTAAAGAGAGAGAGAGAGGGAGAGTTCGCACTGGAGCACTGATGAGACAAGACACAACAGCAGAGTGTCTCTATTCATACTGGGATCCAGCAAGGGCGAAGAGACTGACACGCCTACTTTTGACAGTGCTGTCTTGTTATGCACCATTCCCAACTGGAGATAGGAGAGAGCATCAATGAGCAACAGCTCAAGCTTGAAAGCATCCTTTGATGGTAACGTCTGGAAATGGCATGCATAATGCCTAAAATGGGCACTGGTGCACCCAGAGACTTTGCCCTCTTCCTTATGGACCTGTCAGAACTGTGTGGGTTTGTGTGTTGTTGTTTTTTCAAAAAAAAAAAAAATCTCCCTCTTGCTACTTGCAACATAATCCTTTTCTCCTTCCGTGTGTTCCCACTGCTGCACCAGTGATGAATAATTTACCAGTGTGGAGACAAGAGAAGTGTCACTGGGCTCATCCCTCATAAGCTTGTCACATGGACAAGAGGCATCAATGCCATTATTTTGTGCGAGGAAATGAACACACAGACATTGCAGAGATGCTCCAGCTTTGTCCATAAATGGTGCCAAGGGGGCAGGTTGGCTGCTGTGTATCAAAATAGTGGCATGGAGACGGATATGCCTCACTGACCGGTTCTGTCCAAAAACTACATTCTTTTACAGAATTTTGAGACTTGTGAAGGAGAGTGATGAGATTCCTATGTACTTTCACATTCAGCGTCTCCTGTTTGGTCTCTCAATAATTTAACTATCAAACCTGCTGATGCTGTATTTTAATCTGGTTTCTTTAGGCATTCCCCTCTACTAAATTCCCCCATCTGATTAAGCCTCTACTAACAGCCTCTACTAAAGATCATAGATGCTTCTTGTTAGGGCAAGCAAGATAACAACTTCCTTCCCCACTAGTACTAACCTTTTAAAAAGGGAGTTGCTTGTATGTTTCACAAAGGACTCTGATATTTGTTTTATATTTCCTCTTCCTTTTAAGTCAGCATAGCTTCATTCAGATTTCTCTCTCTAATAATAATGGTTTGCACCGGCTCCAGTTGCCCAGAAGCCATTAGTAAGTAGGGATCTGTTAGTTTCAGTTTCTCATAGTTTCTCATTTTTCCTATCTTAAATTCAGTTCTTCACATTTTCACATCTATTTGGGGGTTTTTAAAGTCCTCATTAAAAGTCATCAGCTTTGTTCAGAATTGGTATAAGGCTGCTTATTTAATTGCTATGATTTAGAGTACAAAAGTTTGTGACAGCTTCAGAGCTTGTTGTTCAAGGTCGTAAGAAAATTAATCAACACAGATATACTGGTTCATAACCTTTAGGACCAATCTTCCTGTCTAATGACAAAATTAATGCATTTAAGCTGACCTTCCTGTTTTACAAAGGAATGTGAACACTCATTTACCCAGAATAACTTTTCTCAGCTGATTGAGGTTTTATTGCTGGTTGATACATTTTTGCAGTCATTACTTCTTCATTTTAAGCATTGACTTTTGTGTGTGTGTGTGTGTGTGTGTGTGTGTGTGTGTGTAGGTGGAATAATGGATGTATTTTGGATTGCTTTGAATTTCCTTTCTGGCTATAACAGTGGAATATAACTTTGACAGATATACATAGATCCAGCAAGGATTCACAGGGCCAGTCTTATCTGAGGCAATATCTTTTATCAGGCCTATTTATGTTAGTGCATGAATATGCAGGTTTATGGGGGATTAAACAGAATACTTCAATTAGAAAAGGAAGGTGTCTAACAATGCAATTCTATGCATGTCTGTGGAAAAGTAAGTTCCGCTGATGCAATGAAGCTTCCTTCAAGGTAAATGTGAATAGCAGGAGTTGCCAATGTGACAGCCTCCAGAGGTTCTTGGACTTCAGCTTCCACCATCCATAGCTCTTGACCATGCTGGCTAGGGCTCATGGGAATTGTTGCCCAACAACTTCTGAATGGCAGCACATTGGCTGCCCCACACTCAAAGGGTGCATACACTCCAAGTTGATTTTCCAGTAAATGCAATTTTGCAGGGCACGTAGCCTATTGTCAAGATACTACCCCACCTCCTTTCTACCATTCGTAGATGACCTGTATACCTAAATGACTCAAGGAAGAGACTGTCAGGGGGAAATCAGGGCGGGCGATTTGCATCCTACTAAAGAATGCTCTCTTCAATTCAATCCTTGCCATTAATCTTTTGTCAACTTTTACTTGCTGCTGTAAATCATAAATCCTATCATGCAGCCGCTCTCAGTGGAATCTCTTTCTCTACAGAATTAAACAGCTGCTTGAAAAGTAACAAACCCCACCACCACCCTCTCCCTGGCTTTCCCCGCATCTTTTGAAAAGAATTTGTAAGGCTGTGTTTTATAGCCTGCAGTGCCTGTGTTTTCTCACACTTCACTTTTTGTCAATTAACAAGGCCAAAGAGAGCCTCCACTTAGGAAGGCTTGAAACACTCTCCCTCCTGGTTTTAATATGGCACATTGGTATCTTCTGCATGTCTCGCTGTGTAGCTCTCCTTTGCCTTTGCAATCCTAATTCATTGCTTCGTGGTCAGCACCAGTAGTGATGAGGACAATCAGACTGTTAACCATCACAAAGCAATCTTCTATCAAATAAAACAAGTTGATATCCTCTTGGAAAACATGAAATATTTGGGTAAGGAGATGAGAAGAGAAATCACCTTGCAACTAAACTGGCAGTTTTCCTGCACTTAAAGGTTGAAACTGGCCATTCAGTGTTGGTTGGCCAACATGCTGCCCTCCAGAGGTTGTGGTCTATATCTCCCATCAGTCCCAGATCACATCAATAATCAAGAATACTGGAAATTGTCATCCATGATATCTGAATGGCATCATATTGGCTGCCCCTGGCATAGATTATATCTTTAGAGTAGTTTAATGTAGAGTATCCCCTTCATGGATCACTGCCTTGTCATGGCGAAGGGGCTTGAAGAACTCAGAGAAGCTATGAGCTATGCCGTGCAGGGCCACCCAAGATGGACAGGTCATAGCCGAGAGTTTAGGCTAAATGTGATCCACCTGGAGAAGGAACTGGCAAACCACTCCAGTATTTTGCCAAGAAAACTCCATGGACATAAAAAAGGAGAAGCTTTGAGAAGAAAGTGAGAGTTTCCAAGGCATGCTCTGGTTCATGGGGTCACGGAAGGTCGAACACGACTAAGAGGACTAAACAACAACAATGTAGAGAATGTGGAAACATGTTCATTGTACATCACACTGGTTCCTGAGAAGGCTGTCTGGAAGGGTTTGGGCCTTTCTAGGAGAAATGTCACAGGGTAACTAAAGCTCTTACTTTGCCTCAAGCGCCAAGCAAAGTTATATGGAGGATCTTGGTTATGATGCTATAGAAGAAGAAGTCAGCTAGGTACCAACATGAGGTTTATCATCAGTTCTGTTGGTGTCAAACTTGCATGCTAACTTCTAATCCAGGTCATCGTTGAAGCCAGCCAGGAACCTTGCTCCTTTGCCATCTTACACATCACTTACTCCCCCCCCCAGACAGTTTTCTGACCCGAATCCTGACCTACAAACCCTGATTGCTGATGAGAGTACCATTTTTAAATGTTGTGAACCCATTGTGAACTACTTAGGAAAATTGTAAATAAGCATTTCCACCAAAGGAGCAAATCTGCTTGAAGAAATGATTTGGAATGGGGAAACAGTTCAGATCCCCCTTCTGCTTTTTTACCATTGTGATGTTCACCACTGAGAAATGAATCATAGAATCATAGAATTGTAGAGTTGGAAATGACTTTAAGGTCTTTTAGTCCAACTACCTGCAATGCAGGAATCTCAATTAAAGCATCCGTGACAGATGGCCATCCAACCTCTGCTTAACAACCTCCAACGAAGGAGAGTCCTCCACCTCTTGTGGAAGACCATTCCACTGTTGAACAGTTCTACCTGACAGGAAGTTCTTCCTGATGTTTAGTTGGAATCTCATGTCTTGCAACTTGAATCCATTGGATTGAGTTCTGCCCTCTGGAGCAGGAGAAAACAAGCTTGCTCCATCTTCCACGTGACAGCTCTTAAGATATTTGAAGACGGCTATCATATCTCCTCCCATATAGTGTTGGTCCAAGTCAAATAGAGACCAATAGACCGGGAGTGTTTAATAGACTGGAAGCTAAGCAGAGTCAGGACCTTGGACAAGGTACTGGTTCAGGACCACAGATAGTAGCCCTGCAGTTAGTAAAGAGAAAGTAACTCTAAAAGCAATGTCTTAGAGCAGAGCTGTGGATCCTCCAACACAGGCCTGCCAGGGGGTCCAATCTGGAGCTCCCACAGGAGGAAGTGATGACCACCAACTTGGAGAATTATACAAATTCATGGGTGGAAAGGCTATCAACAGGCACTAGCCATCATGGCTGTGTTCTACTTCAACTGTCAGAGGCATTATGATTCTGAATACCAGTTACTGGGGCTTGCAGATGGGAATAAGACAGGCTTGCCACAGGCATCTGGTTGGCTACTCTGAGAACAGGATGCCATTGGCCTGATCCAGGCTTATGTTCAGTTGGTAGAGCACAAAACTCTTAATCTCAGGGTCATGGGTTCTAGCCCTGTGTTGGGCAAAATATTCCTTCATTTCAGGGAGTTGGACTAGATGACCCTCATGGTCCCTTCCAAATCTGCAAATCTGCAATTCTGTGTTCTTATTCCCCCACCAACAGTCCAGTGTTGGTGCAGTGATAAGTGCATTTGAATGTGATGGGGATATGAATGGAACACTTACAGTAGCCCTGTGAAATAGATTAGATTGAGAGATATTTCTGTCCCATTGCCATTCACTGAGCATCGTGACAAAGACAATGGGTTTGATCAAACCAGGACTAGCATTTTGCCCACTACATTGCACTGCCTTGCAACTGAGCTCCATTAGAACATGGCATAAACTGTGAAGTCAGTTTTCTGCTAGACTTGGAAGATCTGTTTTTACAGAGTGTACACAACTGCTGTAGTATGGTATATCATCTAGTATTTGTTATTCTTTTCCTGAGCAAGGCTATTTTCGTCTTCCTAACTACTTGTGATGTTTGTTTATGCATGGCAGTTCTGTTTTGTTGTTTTTCCCACCCCACATGCTTGTGAGCAAGTGTCTGCTCTAACACACACACACACACATACACACACACACACATGCATGTATGTGTCTTCCTCAATTTCCTGAAAGTTTTCTCTCCCTGCAAAAAGGGCCTCCATTTTGCTCCCTCGTTGACTGATTTATTGCTTGATTGCATTTCTATGCTACTTTCCATTCAGATGAATCCTAAAGAGGCTTACAAACAAAAAGCAACAGTGACATAATAAATAATAAAACCAACATTTCTCTCTCTCTCTCTCACTCTTATACACACACACACACACACACACACACACACCATGGCCCTTTATAATTTTGAGGTGTGTGGCTTTGAAAGCTTACCTCATTGTTGCAAGGTGGCCAAAGGTGGTCTGAGGTTCTCTACTATCCCCTAAACATTTCTTCAGCACTCCAAAGCCTCCTTGACTTGCCTGTGCTTCTGGATCGGGGGGGGGGGGAGGAGGGAGACCATAAGGAGAGTTACCTCACAATGTCTCCCTCTGGGCTTTAATTCAAATGAGGGCACCTGGGAAGGCTGCTGATTACAGACAACAGAGAGAGATTCCTTAATCAGTGGAAAGAAAGGATGTTCACAAATGCCCTTTGCCCACCTCAAAAGTAAAGTATGCACAACAAAACCCCTCCACCCCATTAGAATTTCACTTATTTTTTCTTTCATTTTTGATCATTTTAAATGCACTTTATTTTATTGCTAATTGACACAGAATGGTTGGGGGCTGGAGTGGGGGACATGGAATAAATTTTCAGCCCAGTACTAGTTTTAACTGTCTTGAGGAAATTTCTCTACACATATCTGCCATCAGCCAGCTTGTTGGAAGGTCCAGCTCCAGTTCAAGCACCCACCTGTCTATCCAAGTCCATGGGGGCAAACCCCAGATGTTGTTTTACTGACTTTAACAGCATCAGCACAAATGACGGATTCACCCTACTGTATTTTGATGCAGAGACATTAGAGACAGAATCATTTGCTACAACGGGAAACAGTCAACATCTTATTTGCATCCATGCATATCAACAATGCAATTAGGACACACTTCTCTCAGAATTAAATTCAGATGGTAATTAAAGAATTGCGTTATGAATTTTAATTTGGCATTAGGGAAGTAAATTATTCTGTATTGCTCTGTTCTCACAGTTTGGGGAGAATACATTATGCTGTTCTTACTGAGACCTTGGAATTAAAAAAAAACAACTCCCCGCAAAAAAAAATCCAGTCCCAATGTCCTTAGAATCTAATTGTGTGGAAGAAAATGAGTCACATGAAACCCCTGACAAAGATTCAAAGTAAAACAACAATGACTGCTGCTGGTTTGATTTCCTTGCACCTTTTTGAGACAGCACCAGTGGGGAATATGAGCAACAGCAACTAAAAAAAGTGCTAATCACAAAAGCATAGACTTAAAAGGTCACTTTTTATATATAAAAAGGCTGCTGAGGAAATAAAGTGTTGCATAATAATCAAAAGTCAACATTGTTCCAATAATTTGCAGCAATCTAGTGCCAAAACCTGGCCCTTAAGTGGTTGTGGGGAAAACTGCAATTTGCTTTTTCTCTCCCTTTGCATCTCTCTCTCTCTTTTCTCTTTCTCTTTCTCTTTCTCCTTCTCTCTCTGCCTCTGTCTCTTCCTTTTCCCCATTACAGAAATGTAGTCTATACAGTGGTACCTTGGGTTAAGAACTTAATTCGTTCCAGAGGTCCGTTCTTAACCTGAAACCGTACTTAACCTGAGGTACCACTTTAGCTAATGGGGCCTCCTCCTGCCACTGCGCCGCCAGTGCACGATTTCTGTTCTCATCCTGAGGTAAAGTTCTTAACCCGAGGTACTATTTCTGGGTTAGCAGAGTCTGTAACCTGAAGCGTCTGTAACCTGAAGTGTCTGTAACCTGAGGTACCACTGTACAAAATCATTGTGAACAGCTCAAAACATTAGCAGGATTCTAAATACACTTGTAATGTAATAGAAACTACAGATAATTTAGGAAGATGAAAAATTTGGAGAAGTATTGATATGCAGATGAAAACAGAATTAAGAGGATCCATAGATGGGATGAGGGTGGGTCAGGAGATTCAGAGTAATCTCTGTACATGAATGTGTATGATATTGTGTATGATGTAACTTTATTCTTTTTCTTTTCTGTTCTTTTTCTTTTCTTTCTTTCTTTTTGAAAACCAAATAAAAAAAATTATAAAAAGGAAAGCAACTAAGAAGCAGCATTATCACCTAGCCCTGATACAACACCTCAACCAATATGAGATATTTTTAGCAAAACCATTGGCTTGCACTCACTTTGCAGAATGAATATCTCTATCCATCGCAAGCGCAATAATGTATGAAATCAACCATTCCAACCCACAACAATCTCCAAGAGAACTATGCAATAATATGCCTCGTGTCTTTATCTCCTTTGGGACTAAGTAAAGCAAATCCCAAGGCCAAGCAGGTGCAGAAGCCAAGATCTCAAAATGGAGGTTTGGTTGGTTGGGTGTTTTGTTTCGTTTTAAGTGAAAAGTAATCTTTTAAATTGGATGGAAGGCCTATTTTTCATTTTGCTTCACTCTTTATTCCTCTCCCATCTGTTATACTTGATAGCTACAGCTTTGGGGAGGGAGGGGAGGAGAACAGCATGAGGAAAAGGCTTGTCCTTTAATAAAGCCACTGGATTTATTGCTCGTGGAAGGTACTAACCTCTGATAGCCCCGGAGTCCTGGAGCAAGTGACCCCCTACAATCTATCCTTACATCACTTGCAATAACTTTGACCTATTAGCTGCCTCACTGCAAAGCTAAGTTGAAACATCTGTGCCGTGATAAAAGGTGGCAGCATGCTTTGATTGCAGTCAGGGTGTCTAGCGTGGTGCAGGTGTGCTTTATGTAACTAATACATTATTGCAGGTCGGTGATCAGCGCGGTCAGCCCACATCTCATTTCCTCCCTGAAGGTCGGAAGTCTTTAATGTGAGGCAGCAGAGAGTTTTGAAAAATGTGTTTGTTTTGATGAGGATGATTTTTCAGATACAAGCATATCAAAGGCTCAAACGGCAGGCTGAGTGGGCCATATTTGAACCAATGGCTCTCTTTTACACATTGGGTCTGAGGACTGCGTGCAACAATTTGATACAATGTGCTGAACAGTCAGGGATGATGGGAGCTGGGAGTGCAACTACATTTGGAGGATACCAGGTTCCCCAGCCCTGAAATAAACACATATGCACAAAAACCGACGAATTGCACATGGATGTCACATGGAAACAAGTTCCATTCCATGTCGGGGTTTTGTCATGGCCTTAGAGGTTCAGCTTATAAACGTTTGGATAATCAGGTGTACTCTGTTTAGAATATGCCGATTCCGAAGTGAAGTTTATGCATTATCCCTAACTCTGGGAGAAGTGCATGGCTTTGTTCATGCTCATGTGCTAATGTGCTCTTCCACACTTCCCACTCATTGCCATTGGGCCTGTGTGGTACAGCTATCTGACAGTTGTGCCCTTGATGACTATTTGCAAAGTAGTTGAGAAAATCCAGTTTCACAATTCATAGGAAGCAGCAACCGCAGAGACATAATTATCACAGCAAAACTGGGAAGTCCCAGGCCATCTTTATAAAAAAAAGACAACTGAGAATATTCACAAATGACATCTTCTGAACTGCAAGAAAAGTGTGTGGCAGTCCTCTCTCTCTCTCTCTCTCTCTCTCTCACACACACACACACACACACACACAAAATAGCAGCCTCGTTGCTTAATATGGATAACAATGCTAACTTGGAGACAGAGGTATCATTCTAATGCCTAAAGCTGAGAAACTGCGGTTCATTCTGTTGAGATTTTGTTAGCTCCTGCGCAAGCCGTGCTTAACGTGGAAGAAAATATCAGTTTGTATACAATCTTTGTTGAGATTTACATTCTCATATTGTAAGTGTTTACGTGTAATGTTTATCTCCAAAGAGTTGAAAAATCTATCTCCATACGCTCAGTTCCTGTTTCTCAGCCAGGGTGCAAGCAAACATATGCCTCAGCCAGCTCCCTATTATTGTGTGATACCAACTGCAAAACACATATGAATCCTGTGTGTTCGTTGTGTGACTGTCAGGTTTGTGAGCACTTGGAGAGTATTTGCCCTTTCCCTTACCACATTCTTTGGGTGTTGGATAAACAGAACAGGAAATCCAACAAAAGGGTTAGAGTGTTCTGCATCCGTGGACACAATGTGTTAGCAGCTTTTTGTATCATTTTCCCTCTGCAGGCAAACTTTGCTACATCCAAGAGGTCCTGGGATGTCCATTTTGCTAGTCGTCATCTTTAAAACGATCAAGAACAGAATCTGAACCAAGATTATTCCAGGTTCTTTGAAAATAATTCTCGACACATTCCTCATTAGGCATCTGTTTATTCCAAAACATACACACACACAGGGGAAAGAATTAGATAACACTTTTCTGGCTTACTAAATGGGTTCGACTTAGTAAATATGGTACTCGATTTTCAACTGATTCTACCATCTGTCAGCAAACTTACTGCTTTTAGCAGGGTGTTGTTTTTTTCCTCCCTTTTCCTGGTGGCAGTCTACGAGGTTTGTTTCCTCCTTTGTTCTTTTTTTGTTCATTTTTTTTCTCTTCTCTCTTTTTTTTGCAGATAGACTTTCTTATGATGTTCAGCAGAAAAAACACAGGCAACAAATTAATCCTTAGAATATAACAGAGCATGCAAAGGGTTTCCACAAGAAGCTACAATGGGGATTATCTCATATTCCATTGCACAGCAATTCCGTACACAATTTGGTGTGTATAAGGCTTATTTATCATGTTTGTTTTTAATGAGGTCAGTCACCACAAGGTGAGTTTTAACAGCCTTTGTTTGTTTGTTTTCTGATGTGATGAACATTTCTCATGGATGCCATCCCTTCCAAAATTTGGGAATTGCTTCCTGAGCAGATGAATGGGAGCAACAGTAGGCATTAGAGGTATACATGTCCATGCACTGGGGAATAAATAAATATACAGTGGTGCCTCGCAAGACGAAATTAATTCGTTCTGCGAGTTTTTTCGTCTTGCGAATTTTTCGTCTTGCGAAGCACAGTTTCCCATAGGAATGCATTGAAACGGTTTCCCATAGGAATGCATTAACAGTTTTAAGAAAAAGGAAACAAACTTGCAAGACGTTTTCATCTTGCGAAGCAAGCCCATAGGGAAATTCGTCTTGCGAAGCAACTCAAAAAACGAAAAACTCTTTCGTCTTGCGAGGTACCACTGTATAGGGAAACTGCCCAGCATGAAACAGCTCTTGGATGTAATGGTCTGGAAGAGAAAGAGGTGTTGTGGCCTGTGTGCCAAATTGGTAATGCAATGGGCCTGATTCTTCATCACTTCATTGTCTGACTTAGTGTGATATCTGAACCTGGCCTTGTAGTTTAGGTCTCTCCTGACAGACCATGTGCTATAACCAAGGTTTGTCCTGTGGTTTAGAGCTCATGATTTGTCTGGAAGAGTCTGATCATGAGTCCAGGTTTGGATAACATGTTCAGCCAAACCATGGTTTAGCTCAGCACAGTGTAGGCTTGTCAGCTCATGCTAAGCCAAACCATGGCTTACCTTGAACTAGCAAGCCTTCGTTGCCCTTGTTATTATGTGTGAACAAAGCTGGATTCATGCAGGGGCTTTTTTGTACAAGGAAGCTTTTTTAAAAAATTAAAGAACAAGTCTCTAACTTTTTTATTTTCTGACTGAATTTGATGCAAATTCCAGATGTGACTACCCCTTCTGAGGAAATGAAGCCTGCCATATTTCAGAACTCCTGGGTGTAGCACATCTCCTGCAAGAGTAGAGAAACCTTTTTGGGTGGGAAAATAGAAATCTCCCAGAAACTCTCCTAGAAAAACAGAAACTGTCTGTGAACAAACGGTTAAAAAACTGGGAAAATAAGAGAAGTATCCCTGGGTAAAAAAACCAAGTTTAGACAATTAGGTCCTGGGCTGATTATGCTAAACAGTTTTACCTTTGTTGCAGAAAACTGAAAATGTCTCAGGTGGTCCCCCCCCCCCCCGCTTCACTGCCATCCCGTCCTGCAAGTATCCTCTGTGAATAAAATAGAGAGAGGGTGCAATGAATTTAAATGGTTTGTTAGGAAAAAGAACATTTGAGGAAACTGCAGTCCACCCAGTAATCTATTTCTCCTGCTAATGCTGTAGAGCAGGCATGTCCAAAATCCGTTTCAGGGACCTAATCCTGCCCGCTGGTCAGTTTAATCTGGCCGCTGTGGCAGTTTATTTCCTGGGGTAAAATCCTAAAAAAAACCCTCAGCAACTTCAATCCTAAAAGAAGCTCAACAACTTCAATCCTAAAAAAACAACTTTGGTTGGCCCTTTGGTCAGCCCCCATGGCCCTTCACTTCATCATATCTGGCCCTCTTTGAAAAAAGTTTGGACACCACTGCATAGAGTTTTGGCTCTCACAGCCAAAAATTAAAAGGGGAATGGTGACCCACATGAAGAAAAACTTGGCTTTACTTCAGTATCATTTCCCCAAATCACTGTGATTAAAAACTAATCCATCAAAACAAAACATCCCCTCTAAGCCTCTCTGTCTCTGCCTCACATCCCATGTTTTTGACTGGCTGGAATATGCCCTTGAACTCTATTAATGCCCTTAGCTTGCTTGGCTGGGGGATATAGAGGGGTTTGTTGATGTGTGTAGAAATTAGCCTTTAGAAGTACCATTTTAATTTGTTGCTTTGTCCATTTTTGCCTCTGGCCCCACAAACCACTGGGGTGTGGCTCCCAGAAGGTTGCCCAGCATGGATTGTGGCCCTCAGACTGAAAAAAGTTCCTCACCACAGGCATAAGGTGAGGAATAATTTGAATTAGCTGCTACAGCAGATATATAGTGTGACGATAGATTGGTCCTCTATGAAAGGGAACCTCTCTGGAGGAGGAGTGAGGACCAGGAGCTGCCTGTGACCTCCTTGAACTAGCCCTGTAGTTAAAAAGGAAGCATGAACCCACTTTTGTGCAAAATACTACATCCTGTAATACTGTAGGACACACTGCTATAAGCATGGTGCCATTGCCTTGGGCCATGAAGAAGGCAAGTTGCATGAATTAACAGTGACTTTAAGCCTCTCTCATTTCCCACTCCCTACTTTGGTAATTCTAATTTGAGTCCAATTTATTAAATCCAAAAATGTACCTGGAGAGTAAATCCACACTTTTGGAAAACCTGCCGAGATTTTAAGATCTAATGAACTGGTTCCTTGGTAATTTGTGCCAGTGTTTCTATACTGGAAGGCTGTTTAATCAAACGGTGTTGCCTTGTGTGGTACATTAGGAATATATAATGAAAACATATGAAGTATGTGTTTCATAATTACCTCAGACAGCTCATTTCGATGTGCTTCCTGCTTAAATCCCCAAATTCCTATCTTCTTGCATTGTAAACATTTTCCTTCCTATCTCATCAATCTGGGTTATGTAAATTAGGTTGGTCAAGGGGCACAATTCCCCCACAAAACACCAACACACACACACAAAACTCTTTTCCGCCTTCCTGCATGTAAAATCAAGGCTCTCTTCTCAGATGCACACACACAAACACAGAGTGGATATATACTTGGCTGCAAAGTCATAATTTAATATAACATTGCAAAGAGCCCAGGTAGGACTGCTGGGGCATTTTTATTGCACTAATAAGTGTTTAGTTATTTTGGAAACACGGGCTCTGTGCAAAACCCTCTCTGGTGCTTCACATCAGCAGGTGAATAGGAGAGATACTCATCTTGCAGCTTGTTTTGGAAGAGTATCTGCAAGCATTTGGAAGTAACTCCTTTCCAATAGAGTTTAACTAGCATACTTCAGATTACAGAAACATGCATGTTTGTTGGTATGTGCATGTTAACACATGTACATTCATTGCCTGTGCCTGGTTCACATGTGTATGTCATGATTTCTCAACACTTCATTACCATTTCCTTGATGACATATGGATGAATGGATGAACTAGATGTGCTGCAAAAAATCCTGCCCCCAGGCACACTCTTCTATTGTCTCTCAAGACAGATGGATGCCAACTAATCAGATTCACCAGCCTGTTCACTGGTGGCAAAAATGATGGGGGCACCTGTGTGATTTTTCAAGGTGACATTTTTATAAACACTTTTGGGGTGATGCTTGCCATTGGCAAGAACAAGGGAAGCAGTTTCTCACCCCCTTTTTTGCCCCCTCCCCAATTCAGGATGCCATTTACCCTGAAACACTGCATCAGAACAACATGAGGTATTTCTTGACATAGTGCCATTGTGGGAGGAGAGGTCGCGGGTGGTGCTGTGGTCTGAACCACAGAGCCTAGGACTTGCCAATCAGAAAGTCGGCGGTACGAATCCCTGTGACGGAGTAAGCTCTCATTGCTCGTTCCCAGCTCCTGCCAACCTAGCAGTTCGAAAGTATACCAGTGCAAGTAGATAAATAGGTACCGCTGTGGCAGGAAGGTAAATGGCATTTCTGTGCGCTCTGGTTTCTGTCACGGTGTTCCATTGCACCAAAAGCGGTTTAGTCATGCAGGCCACATGACCCAGAAAGCTGTCTGTGGACAAACGTCGGGTCCCTTGGCCTGAAAGCGAGAAGAGAGCCATGCCCCATAGTCGCCTTTGACTGGACTTACTGTAACTGTCCAGGGGTCCTTTACCTTTTACCATTGCAGGGGCACAGCTGCTATTGCCACAAGTAGGAAAAAGCCTTATTTTTTAAAATGAACAGTTACTCACCAATGGTAAAGTGTGCTGTCACTGAAAGGGTTCATTTAGACCCCCCCTAAAACCACCCCCTGCCTTGCCTTGCTTCAGCCTCTCCGTTGGAGCAAAACATTCCTAAACCTCAGACTTTCAGTTGACTCCTAGTATGAATTTAATTGAAAAACCATTGGCTTGGACACAGATTATGCAAGGTGCCCCCACCCAACTCCCACCAGTAGCCCCTGCCATATAGGCCCCTCCCAGGTTGGTTCACAATAGGAAGATACAAAATAAGAATGCAAAATACATAATAAAACAAAACGGGAAAAGGCACCAATAATTTCCCCCCTGAGTTGCTGCTGAAGTCGCACTCCAAATGTACAGGGAGGAAGAGATGGGAGAAACTCTTTCACTTCCTTCCTCCCACAGTTACTGCCAGATCAGTAGTCAGAAAAGCAAGAGAGTGGGGAGGGATTTGGAACCTCACAAGGATTGGAGGAAGGATTTATCCCTATCCACGCATAAAAAGTCTATGGGACACACTTAACCATTTCCTTGTTTATCTTGGAAAATAGCACCATTTGCCAAACCTAGTTAGGAATCAAACCAGCAAGGATAGGGGTTCACCCATGGCTAATGTTAGTGGAAAATGTGATAGCGCTGGCAAGCATGCTTTTGAAGAGAGAAGCGGGGAAAGAGAAAGCCCACAAGTCATGCAGAGCATGTAATTCAAGTGAAGTTGCCTCATTAAAGTAACAATATTGACTTGATTATCACTGCCTGGCTGCAAGAAGGAAGCTATTTTTAAGTCTAAGGTTATTCTGGTAAATGGTACTCTGACAGGCAGATTGAACTGAAACAGGTATGCGAAGTATCTCTTGGTAATTTAGAAAGTGCAGGTTATGATATACAGCAAGAGCTATTCCCATAAATCAGCCACAGATGAGGTCATTGTGTTTCTCAAGGGTCG